ACCACCTAACAACAGGGCGTCCGTGGACGGATGCTGGGAGCCACACCTCTAGGCTTCAAAGGGGCAAATCCAACCTGCCTCCAGCTAATTGCAAAGCCACCCTCATTCCAATCAATATGTTTTCTGAAATGTGAGGTCAAAGTCAGGTTGTCCCGTTCCGTGAATAATGAATTCTAAGTAATATTAATAGTTCACCGATGCCGATGCTCCTGCAAACATGTCAGGCTGCCTCTGTCTGTGCTGTCAAGCTCATCTTACTGAGAGCGTGTGGAGACAAAGTCTCTCCCCTCCCCAGCTCAGACTTAATACAGTGCAGGCAAGCTCTTCGTTCCAGCTCCTCAGAGACATCTGAGATTGATTTCAGGGGCCAAGTGCTCAAATTAGACACTCGGAGTTATGGAGATAAACTCGAAGATGAATTTACTCTGTTGAGGCTCAGAGAACAACTGATGGAAGTGTGTGTGTGTGTGTGTGTGTGTGTGTGTGTGTGTGTGTGTGTGTGTATGTGTTATGTGTGTTGTGTGTCTGTCTGTCTGCCTGTCTGTGTATCTTTGCGTGTTGTATGTCTGTGTGTTCTGTGTCTATCTATATGTGTGTCTGCATGCGTCTGTGTGTGACTATGTGTCTGTGTGTGATTATGTGTCTGTGTGTCTGTGTATGACTATGTGTCTGTGTGTGACTATGTGCCTATGTGTCTGTGTGTTACTATGTGTCTGTCTGTGTGTGACTATGTGTCTGTCTGTCTGTGTGTGACTATGTGCATGTGCGTGCGTGTGTCTCCATCCTGTAGAGTAGTTCTCCATGCAACTGGTCATTTTCTGGTATCTTGGAATTCAAATGAAATCAATGCAGGCTCCAGTGTTCACCTGTGAGTGTTGCAGGCATTTGAGCAAGCCAGAGAGAAAAGGCTTCATAAGTATGGCTGGGGACACCAAGGATCCACAGAGCTGGGCTGATCCCATCCACTTTGGATGCAGTTTTATTGCATGCTGGTCATTCATTCTTCCACTTGCTCTCTGAAGACTTGGCCAGTGCTTTGTACATGCTCTGAGAATTCTGCAGGACAACGTTTCATTTAAAAGATACTTTCTTATAAACTAAACTTTAAAAGCAAAGATGATCTTCATTAGAGTAAAAAGAAAAATGCCCTGAATAAGTGTACACCTGGAAGCAGTCTTCATATAAAATATTTAGAGACAAGAAGAATGAAAAGTTACATCCCATAATTTCCTGGGACTTTTTTTATTCTCCTTTCTGTATTGAAGTGGGCATGACCAGAGCTGCTTCTGGAGCCTGCCCTCTGGTCCAACCCTTCTGGATTTGAAAGGAACTCTCAACTGCACTATCAGGCTGAGGGGGTGGAAAGGGAAGGCTCCAGCTCTCAACGGAATGTGCTGCAGTCCTTGACACAACCATTTATCTCTGATGAAGGAACAGGCTTTGTTTCTGAAGGCGGACACAAAGGGTGATGGGAGAGGGTGGCGAGTTCGAATCTAACCTTGCATTTCCACATGTAAGCAAGCCCTCCTTGGATTAACTCATGTCTCCTGAGATGCATGGTTTACTTAGCAGTTCTTTAAGACTTCCAGGAGCCTTAACTACTATAATTAATGATGGAGAGATCACAGGTTCAGGTGAGTGACAGGCCGTGAGTGTATTCTGGATCAGTGCCCCTGCTACAAGATGTGAGTATGGAGTCACGTAGTAAGTATGGCACCAGGAGGTCCCTGAAGATTTTTTTAGATGGCAATGATAGAGGATTTGGGGAGGCAGACAGTTCATGCATTGACTTTAGATTCTTCTAGATCATAATTGAGTGGACCTTGGCAAACCAATCCATGCCTGTGACTGAGTAAAGTTTCAGTAGCATGAGCAATGAGTCAGGTCCAAGCCCCAGTATCTTGGGGATGCACACTAGCCCATAGCCCAGGATGTAACCCCCAGGGGCTCCACCCTGGTGTCACCGAGTCAGCCACAGTCAGACTCTGCCTGGCTTGGCAGGTAAAAGTGCTTGCTGATACCATGCTGTGACCCCTACATGTGCTCATGCGCACACCCATGCATGCTCACACCAACACATACTTGCAATAATAAATAAAAATAAAAAAATGAAACTCTGAGTTGATAATATTGAGCAAAAATATCATGACATAACATCTTTAAAATTTAAAGAGACAATCAATGGATTGAAAAGAAACCAGAGAAGAAGACACATGCTTTTACAGACTCTCATCTGGCAGAGGATTAATAGACAGAATACATAAAGAACTGAGAGAATGTAACATCAGAAGAAAGTAGTCCTGTCAGAGGCGAGGCACATGAGCCACACAGGTGGAACCACAGAAGGTGTGTCCATGTGGGTGAGGTCATAGGTTGGACAGACTATGGGAAAAAGGAGCTTGAGAGCCGATTTTATCATCGTCATGCACATAAATAGGATGGCTGCCCTGTAGAAAGAGAACCAATCATTTGCCTCAAGACTCAGCCTCCTGGAACACCTGCTATTCCTGCTGAAGACATCAAAGCTGAGCATCCAAAGGGTGGTGTTTTATGCAAATTACATCCAAATCCAGCATTGTTAAACATTGTATATGTGTCTGTGAGTATAGATGTGCATGTGCACACAGGTCAGAGACTAAGGATATCTATGCACACACTTATATACAGTCCTATATCCACATGGCCTATATATTAATATAGAAATGCATGCAGAGCCTCTGACTCCCAGTCAAGCTTTCTCTAGTTTTCATCCCTTTTTAGACTTTAATTTTTTTACAGTTGGGACGAGGCTGTTCCTGGTTTTAGGATTCATGTTGAAACTCTGGGCCTGTAAGTCATAGCAAATGGACCCTCTCCATCAGGAGTCTGCATTTCCTCACTCTGCATGGAGTGAATTCAAGATGAAATCCACGTTAATCCCATGAGTTCTGCCTGTGGGCTTCAGGGGATGTAGAATGGTTCCCTTAAACATACCTTTTATCTCCTTAAGATAAACATATGTAAAACTCTACCCAAGATCCCTGAACTTGCTCATTAAGATGGCTTCCAGTTGGACATGCAGAAGTCACACTAGGCAGATGGAGCCTGGTGCAGGGGTGGTGGTGACTTCAAGGGATGCAGATGTGAGACAAGGGTGTTCAGGTGTTCATTTGTGGCCTGTAGGTGTGGGGACACATGGTGAGGAAGGGAAGAATAAAGAACATGTCAATACAAAGATTATCGCTGAGTGAATGGGGGCTCAAGGCTGCCTCTGTAAGGTGGTGTCACAGCCTTATGGGAATTGTTCAGGAGATGAGAGAGGACACTGTAGCACTAAATACACCCATGCCTTTTGTGGTTGGAGGTCATTGTGAGTGCTCTGATGTTCCGGTCCATGGTGAAGGTCAGTTCATCCTCCTGAGCCAAGGGCATAGCCCATAGAAGGACAATCCAGTCCTGCTGGGTCCCTGATCCCTGCACTTGCCATCTCCAGGAACAGATGCAGAGGAGGGCCAAGTATCTTAGTCATTATAAAGTTCTGTAATAGAAGTTTTCAGGTAAGTCCTGAGCATCTAGATGCCATTCTCCAAGGAGTCTTGTTGTCTCTGCTGAGCATGCTCATGACTCACTACCCCTTCTCTTAAATTTATGTCTGCAATAACAAATTTACAAACAATACCACACACTAAAGCATAGCTTTATCCATTTATTAAGTTATAATTCCATTCAGTTAAAATATTTCCCCCTCATAATGAACAGCTTATTTTAAAAAATGTGTTTCAGAAAACACGACGACCCTACCAAAGCCAAGAACTTGAGTTCATGAATGGCTATGTTCAAAAGTCGACACCTCATTCATCTCAAGAACTATGCTCACCTTGTTCAGACTTTTGTCTCAGTGACTGGAGCACAGTAAATGTCCAAACATATGGCTTGGCAATATTCAGATAGCATCTGGACTTTGTGTAGGAGATGTGATTAGTGAAAGGGAAAGAACAGGGAAATTAGTAAAAGAGCTAGGAATTAGCGAAAGTGATGCTGAGTGTCTTCTGTATTTGCTCAGTGGATTCCATTCCTACACTTCCTCACAGGATGTTAAAGTGGACTAGTCCTTGAAGGCCATGCCATAGAGAGGGCCATGTAAACCCAAGATAACTGCATTCAGGACACCAGGAACCGAGTGTAATTATTTTCATCTAAATTCAGTAACTTACTTAAATTGAGACAACTTGGGTCAGTGAGTTGACTTTTTAAACTACATATTTTATGAAATCTTAAATACAAACTAGATATTTATGACAAAGATTTAGTAGATTTAGTACCCAAATCTCAGTATGCTAAAATTATAAAATATTCACTGGACTTTTAAAGACCTAGTGCTGAAACATAAGGTCTTTAGTAATTTATTAATGTATATATTGACTGCATGCTACACAGCTCATATTTCAGATTTATTGAGTTACATAAACTACATCATAAGATTAATCTTTCAGGTTTTATTTTACTTATTGTGACCACTAGGAACCTGTAAACTATCTGTGTGGTTTACTTTGTATTTCTTCTACACAGGGTGATCTTATGGAGCACAGGGCAGGGACAGACTTTGATTAGTCCTGACTGAACAGTAGCCATCAACACAAGTTAGAACTCATAATGTGGAAATCCCAGTTTTAAGCCATCAGATAATTGGAAAAGATGACCTGGCTGAACAGTAGCCATCAACACAAGTTAGAACTCATGATGTGGAAATCCCAGTTTTAAGTCATCAGATAATTGGAAAAGATGACTGGATTTAGGAATCAGCAACTAAAACAATCCCGAAATACATATGATTAAATAGTTCTTGACTTGGCTCAAAACCACCTGCTGTAGTCAGACTTGGGAGGGTGGAGTTTGCAGCTTAAAAAAACCAATTACTAATTTCCCTATCATTTGACTCCATGCAAAATTTTATATATGTTTGTACATACATATGTGTGTACTGTGATTATTTTGAGACCAGGTCTCACTATATATTTCAGGCTGACTTCGAGCTCAAGGTCATTATCCTGTCTCAGTCTCCCCAGTACCAGGATTACAGATGCCTACCACCATGTTTGCTGGAACAATTTTTTATTGGTATATATTCTTATATTTTATAGTGTATATGTATGCATATATGTGTCTGCTTGTATATGTGCAGCACATGTGTGCCTGGTTCCCATAGAGGCCAGAAAAGAGTCCTGAGTTACTGGAACTGAAGTTACAGGAGGTTGGCATTGCCATGGGGTACTAAGAATGGACTCTTGGTCCTCTGCAAGCGTAGCTAGTGCTCTTAAAAGCTGAGTCGCCTCTGGGGCCTTGGCTTATATTTTTCGCACATGATACTGGTTTCACCATGAGATTTTCATAGTATGGATAATAATCTTTGAGTATGATCCTTTTCCACACTGTCCAGCCCCCTCACTTCCCCTCACCTCTCTATTAGTCCTGTGTTCTTCTGCAGTCTCATATCTACCTGACTAATGGAGGGTTATTGATAGAGGTTGGAGGGTGGGACTTCCTGTCTATCCTCCTGTTCCTCTAGCTTCTTCTGAACTCTGGAAATAACCAATACCTCCTGCTCCTGGACACTTATCAGTATCATGCAGCATTCACATCACAGGAGTCTGGACTCAGGTCTTTCTTTAACCACACATAGGAGGGAAAGCTAAGCCTGATATCATTTCAGAATCAGGTCAACCTGTTCTGTTTCTCTTTCACATGTCAATATTTGTACAGTTAATTACTCTACCTTATATTACCCTTTGGAATATATAATGTTGCCCTTTTTTTCTGATGGAAAATTGACTTTTTAAACATTTATTTATTTGTGCATGTATATATATAGATGGATGGAAGCCCATGTGACAGTTCACATGTAGAGGTCAAAGGACAAGCTGCAGAGATCTACTATGTGGGTTCCAGGGCTGCAACTGAGGCCATCAGACTTGGTGCTAAGCGATATCACGTCCTCTGAGATGGTGACTTGAACAGAATCACTTGCATTTAGAAATGTAAAGCATATAAATAAACCACATTCTCAAGAGCACGTGGATAGCATGTACTGGACTTGATGAGTTATGAAGGAAGAGGAGGAGGGAGAAGGGGGGAGAGGGAAGAAGAGACAGTGTTGGGTGGGTAGGTGCAAAAGAGTGGGTGTATCCCGGAGGAGTTGTGGGAAGGGATGAATATGATCAAAATACAATGTAGATAGTTCTCAAAGAACTAATAAAATTCACATTAAAAGTAATAAAATATAAAGCATACCTACAACAGGCTAGATTTCATAATAACATGAAAACGTTAAAACACACTGTAATGAACAGATTAGAATCAAAAGTCATGAGATGCAGATAACACAATTTTTAAGCTAATAACTAATGGCTCACATTAGAAAACAAGGAAGATAACTAGGAATCTAAATCAAGCAATTCTTAAAATAACACTAAGTAAATAATTCTTGAAAAAAATATTAAAACTCAGAAAGGGAGAAATAATAAAAACAGAAGAAATAGTAGCATAACAAAATCACAGAGACAATAAAGGAACAGATGCTGTCAGGCCAGTGCTTGACAGAGGGTCACCCTGAGCAGTCATTTCTCTCAAAGAGAAACACTGGAAACAGAAGGACTCACAACAAGACAGGTGACACCACAGAAGTGCTGGGAGTCCACCAGGGGACTAGGGACAATTCTGGCCAAGTTTGACCAACACATACATGGAGAACTCTCTGGAGCAATGACATTTGTTGAACAAACCTTCATGATCAATGGGAAAACCCCAAGAGAAACAAAGCAACGAGACCCCTGGCTATAATAACTACTATCCACAAGGTGTCGGAAGAAAGGAGGTCCATCTCCTGTTGATTCTAGCTGCAAGTTCAACAAAATAGGGAAGAGAGGTCCTCAGATCCCTAGCAGTTGGTTGGTCAGAGAGGAAAAGAGAACAGCTCAAACGGGGAGTTTTCAGCCTGGAGCAACTTGGACCAAAGTTAACGAGAGGTGCTATCAAGGAATGTCACCAGCAATTTCATTTACGGGTACAAAAGGGCACAAATAAAACAATATGAAATAAAACATGGAAAAATATAGTAAGCAATAGATGGAAAACTCAGCTCCAAATAAAACTAGAAATATATGGGTAATTTAAAAATAGAAGACAAGCCGGGCGGTGGTGGCGCACGCCTTTAATCCCAGCACTCGGGAGGCAGAGCCAGGCGGATCTCTGTGAGTTCAAGGCCAGCCTGGACTACCAAGTGAGTTCCAGGAAAGGCGCAAAGCTACACAGAGAAACCCTGTCTCGAAAAACCAACAAAAAAAAAAAACAAAAAAATAAAAATAAAAATAGAAGACAAATTAATACATTTTACCATATAAACAGAATAAGGGAATTAAACTGTATTTTTTATAATTTATACAGCATATATCTCATCCATAACCAAAATGGAACATTATGAAATTTAAATTAATCCATAATCTATAAATACGTAAAATATTCCATGTGTTTACATATTATATAATTTATATTTACATATTATAATTTCATCTATTTAGTATTTATATTATAACATATAGTATGTATACATTATAAATGATATGTATATATATGTATAGTGTATTATAAGTTTGAGGCTATTGATAAAATCTAAACTCATACTTTTCAAAATAATCTCTCCATAAATGAAAAGCCAAAAGTAGTTTTAATTTTCAAAACCCAACAATATATTAACTCGTACAGTATCATAACTGTAAGAGTTATTCAATAAAAACCAAGTGACTCTCATGTCACTACTTAATCAAACAAGTGCTGAGCTAGCTAGGACAGGAAGCAAGTTGAATAAATAAAGGAGGACAGAGGTCTTACGGGAAGAGACCAAATTGTTGTATTAATGAATTTAGTGAGGCTTCCTATAAGCTTACAGATACTAGCCCAAATTATTCAGCTGTAGTTTTAGAAAGCCGTGACTAGAAAATGACAATTTTTAAAGGTGCTGTTTAAATAGCTGCAAGAATGCAGCATTAGTAGACCGGGTCATCTCAGGGAGAGCTCAGAACTGCTTCTGTCCTGGGCAGAAGGCATCTCTCAGGGGACTTGGTCTGCCCTGAGGGACCGTGAAAGTGGACTTGGGCCTGTGAAGACCAAGCTGATGTCAGAGAACAAGAGGACTCTTAGGAGAAACGGGAGCATCCCATGGACAGCAGAAGTTCAGTGTGGACGAAGGCCCAGCAGCTTCCAGAAGGAAAGAGAGAGAGAGAGAGAAGAGTGAAGTGGAAGAGAGCTGTGGTGGGCCAGAGGGAGGCAGTGACTGCAGTCCCCATGCTATTACCCCAGCACAGCAGGAGCCGCTGAAGGCTGTGAATCAGGTGTCTCTGGTGCTGGCTCCTTGCATGTGGCAAAGTGGTTCACAGAAGCTGCGGAGCTACCAGGAGGTGCCGGCAGGGCAGTCGTAGCCCTGGCCTCCAAATGGCTTTAAGAATTATTTTGCCCGTGTCCTTTGGCTTGACCTGAGTCAGATTCTAGGCAACTGTGGAGGAAAATCAACCCTAAGAGCAACGGAAGCCAGGACTCCACACAGGCTAGGTGGGGTCTACCAATGGAGTGGCAGCCCAGCTCATCTCTTCTCTGACAAACCCTTGTTGTAGGATTTGGGGCCCAACCTAGACCAAAATGGACTCACATGGATATCCTTAACTGTATGGGAAAATCTTCCAAATAAGGTCACGTTCTCCCAAGTCCAGAGATGTTTTTTAGCACTTGCTGGAATCTCCTGGTTTGTGACGAAGACTGAGAGGAGGGAGAGGTTAGGGGTGGGCACCTAGCACCCATGTGGATGGGTAGCTGTCATGCCCTTCTCTCTGAACTTCTGTAGCCCACAGGTTCATGTCCCCAAGCATCTTACATAAGCTCTGAGAGAAAGGCAATTTACATAGAGCTCCAGCTTTCGCCCACAGACCGGCTCTGATGACGGTTGGTTTGTTCTTATCATTTCCTATGTGCCCCAAATCCTGATATACACCATGGAGGAATTTGGTATGATCTTGAGGAAGGATGACTCTGGCTCAGGGGTTTCCACCTAAAATACCTGGGGTGTGTAGTGACACAGGACAGCCAGATCTCACCTTGAATGGTGGAAGTTAGCCCCTGGGGATGAAACTGCTGTGGAGGCTCCCCTGACCAGCCTGCATTACAGGGAAGGTGTGGGGACAATCCCAGCATAGACCTTTGCTTGAGCAGAGACTATCTGGGGTTATGTGGCTTGTTGGGTCCTAGAAGCCCACCAGTGCTGTCTTAAGCGATGGGAGGAGGTGGCTGTCTTTGTAACAGGAAGAAAACATGGGGCTAAGGAGGCCTAAGGGTGTCCTCTGAGGACAGGCGACAACAGTCCCAGGATCTGCATGCCTAGCTGGGTGGACAGTTATTGCCTGATTAAAAGACCAGGCCCCAGGAAGTGAAAAGGAAAGTCAGTGGTGGGGGAGGGGCAGAGGAGGCCTGGCTGGTGTTTAGGGAAAGTCATTGTAAGGCCAGGCAGCCCACGTGACCTGCCTTTGATCCTTAATCCAGCTTCAGGTGGATGCCCTGAGCCAGACGGCCTCATCAGGGCTATAGAGGCTGCAGAAGCAGCCTGAGATGCTAAGTGGGGCAGGGTAGGAAGAAAGAGCTTTACACACTGAGTCTCTTGGGATAAAATTACCAGGCTGGACAGAAGTGGGTGAGGCAGCCGTGGTGGCCATCCCAGGAGGCTTCCCTGGTCGCCTCAGCCTGCTCCAAGGACTGCCAGAACAGATGGAGACAGCCAGAGACCTGAGACTGGAAAGACACTGCCCCTGCCTGCTCCCAGTGAGAGCCAGGGCGGGCCTGTGTATGGGGTCTTTGGAATGCAAAGGAAAGATCTAGAACTCACAGCGTGAGAAGAAGGCTGCTTGCCCTTTATTCTGGAGACCTGCCTTCAACGTCAGCAGCCCAAATCCACCAGGTCAAAGCTGGAGTTGTTACTGGAAGTTTAATGAGCACTTTAAAATAGGTATCACGGTGACAAATAAATAAATGCCTTTTCTCCAGAGAAGAATAAGAAAGAAGAAGAAAAAAAAAGTGTGTGT